CAGAAAAATAATTTTTTCTTAATGTTAATCTAAACTAAACAATATGTAAAAATGTTAGTGAAAATTGACTTTTATAATATCAAATATCAATTAAGAATTATTAATTTTATGTATTCATAATTGCGGGACATTCTGAAAAAACCCACATAATATTATTCTATTTATTTAGGAACGAGGCCTCTTTAATACAAATGTCATTAAAAATGGTTGCCCAGCATGCATTTATAATCTTTTTTATTAAAACCTCAACACTTCTGAGTTTGTTGAATTCATATTTATTGAGAGGAAAATTATTATTGAGCTTGGCTGACAGTACTGTTTCGGAGTTAACCATCGTCGGAGCCTATTAGATCAAAAACACATAGTCAGAAATGCAAAATTTGAAATAAAATAAGTGAAATTTAAGTAAATGAGCAGTTGAATTAATAAATTAAATATTAATTAAGTTAAAATATGAGAGTAACCTTCGAATATTAATGACATTATATATATATAAGGAAATATAAATGAAATTACCAAGATAATAAAATTACAATAACTGAGAAACGAAATAAAATTATAAAATTGGAAAATAATATAGTGAAGTTAGTATTAAAAGCAGGTGGACGTATGTGAATGCAAAATATGATGTAATTATGGAAAACCGTTTGATGTGAAAAATTGGTGAGAATTGAAATTATTGATGAAATTAAAGGAGATGGAAAAATATTGTAAATTATACGTGAAAGTAATGAATTAAAATGAAGTAAAATAATTAAAAGTGAACAATATTAGCGTGAAAGATAACATAAAGTGTTAAGACCATGAATCATTCTCGAATAGAGAGGCCAACGGAACCGTAACACCGGTTGCACGGCAAAAAGTCACATTTTCGACGTTGATCATTTTTACATCATTCGACGTAGGTTGAAGATCGAAACGCCACGGTTTGAGGCCAATACCGAAAACAACGGGAATTGACCCGAGTGTGATGTCAGCATTAATAATAATATTAATAATTCAATAATATTATTCATCTTATTTTTTTATATCTTCTTATATAATCATCTTATATAATTCAAATTAAAGACTTCATGAATATTATACTTAAACAATTATTTATAATGTTTACTTGAACAAAAATTATATTAAAATAATGTGGTACATCGCAACAATAGTTTTTAATTTAATGTTCTTTTTAAAATATCTCGATTTTAGAAAAATAAAAAGTATTAGACAGCTCACGTTGGCCAACTGCATGATCACAAAGTTGTTCACTCCTGCACCATTGTGAAGTGTGAGTTGGGTTTTGCAGGAGACCTACTTAAGGAGCTGCTTGAGGCAGTCTCATTACATTTTTGTAACCTTGAAGCAGTCTCAATTGCATTGACATCATGTTCTTTCATGTGTTCTAAGCACTTGAAAAAATTACAAACTTTTTGGCTATTTCTGCAGTTGACATGAAACCACTTTCTACAACTTATGGTTTAATCATTTTATTTTTTTTACAATATTTTGAAACCTTTTTCACCAAATTGTTTTGTGACAAATGTGTGCAATGGAAAAGAGACTAAAATTCATACCAAATTGTCCTTTTATTTTTAAATTTAATGGCTTTTTTTAATTTTTTCGATCCATTTTCAAGTGTCATTACAGTCTACATTTGCATCTTCTCTTACAATAGTTTTGCCTACCCGATAACAAACACACCACAATCACACAGATTCAATTGTTGCATCCAATCAGAAAAATATCAGAATTTCCATTCATTCCAATTTATTTGCTTAGGCATTACAATAAAACACATTGTAACAATATTAGCAAGTTGGATAAAAGACTCGCTTCTCATATCTTTAGATCTTAATGGATCATGTTGTTTTTGTTGTTGCCCCTTTCTGGGGGACCCCTAGGGCTCCAATCGAGGCCGGGGCAAAACCGCCACTGCAATTGGGTTTCTCCAGAGATCTGTTGGTTGTAGTCTTAAGGGATCATAAATTGTTACAGTTTTTTCATTTAATGAAATTACACCTAAAAGCCAATGCTTGTTTTTACACATTGTTTGACAGTTTGTCAAACAATGTGTAAAAATGTGTAAAAAAATGTGTCGAAATAGCTTTAACAATTGCTTTTTCTCTATCTATTATTATTATTATTATTATTATTATTATTATTATTATTATTATTATTATTATGAGAAAAAACATGGGCGAAGACAAAATATCCCTATGCACAAAATTAACTATAAAATTTTAACACATAAACACTGTACATGAATATATGTTAATATGTTCTGTTTATACATAAAGATCAAACAAAAAATAAATAAATAAACAAAAATATAAGAGAATAACTTCGATTATTATTTCAACATTATATATATATATATACGCAAACATTTCTTCATAAAAATTCCAATTTCAACCATTCATATATATCGTCCTCTCTTAAAGACAATCATGTCAAAACAAACATTTATACCATCATCCAAAATCTATAAATAGCATTCACGAGTAGTCATACTTCAACTCCGCTCTCCAATCGTATTTAAATTTAGCATTCATAAGAAAATCATCCAACTTTTTTTAAAACTCATTCAAATCACTGCAATTAACAACATCATCATTAAAATTATTCCAAATATTAATAGTTCTATTAACAAAATAATTTTTTCTTAAGTTCGTATGGAATGTCAGTGCTGTTAGCCTCATCTCATGTCCTCTTGTTCGTCTGGTGGCTCTCAATATTTCCGGCAAGCTTCGTTGGTCCTTTTCATTCAACATGTGAAACATCGTTATCAAATCACCTCTTATTCATCTGTATTTTAGTGTTGGCAGTTGTAAAAATTTTAATCGGTCCTCATATTTCATTCCCTCACAGTCCTTGATCATCTTTGTTGCCCTTTTCTGAACCTTTTCGATCGCTTCTGTTTCACGTATTGTCCATGGTTACCACACACTTGATGCGTACTCCAGCTGAGATCTAACTAAAGATTTATATAATAATATAAAAACATTTTTATCAATATCTTTAAAATTTCTGTTTATTAAACCCAACAATGAAAATGCCTTCTTAACATTGCAATGTATATGCTCAATAAATTTCAAAGATGTATCAAAAATAACACCCAAGTCTTTAATCTTTAATTTTATCAACAAAAAGTAATGGGTGCGAGCTTATGTTATAATCATAATTATTATCTGATAAAGAACAACCAAACTTCATCACAACACATTTTCCTTTATTCAATTTAACATCATTCTGCACACACCACTCATTCAAATCATTCAATCCCCTCTGCAATACCACACTATCCCTATCTGAGTTCATAATTTTAAACAACTTTGCATCATCTGCATACATATACATCGCAACATCCTGAAACAAATCAAATAAATCATTAACATACATTTAAAACAAAATTGGCCCAAGCACACTACCCTGTGGAACTCAACTCTTTACCTCACAATATCTTGACATACCATCATTCACTCTCACACGAAATGTTCTTCCATTCAAATAATTATAAACCCACGCAACCAATTATAAACCCAACCAACAAATAACTAGATTCAGGAAAAATGGGGTCTAAACAAAAATCAGTGTTTCTCATTACTACCTAAGTCTCCTAAATTAAATGTTATATCATATGACATGACATTAAGTAAGGTAAATTTGGGGTTTACAAAGCTATCATTTCTTTGTGACCCATAATTATTGTTAATTCAATACCTATTGCGTTGGTTGTAATAAAATCTTCCAGGTCTTGTTTTTACAGTTCAACTAAATTATAGTAGTCATCCTTGCCTTATGAGGATTGTTTAGTGTTAGCTTGAATAACATTTTTTATTTGTTTTGAATCACGAGGTATGGTTCAATTTCGGGAAACGTGTTTGGATCGTCGGCATTGTGGTGATGTCTAACATTCTAACATCGCATCACACTTTTTCATAAATTTGTTTTTGAGTGAGTCCTGACTTAATACAACTTTTAATAGATGTTACAGCGGATGACATTGTCCGAATATCAATTTTATTTTTCTGGCTATTGCCATGAGCTGAATCTTGTCATGTTAGTGATGGTGATAGTATGCATTAAGTAATAGTTTAATAACGATGATGATGATGATCATCATCAGGACAATAATGATGATTATGATGAGGGCATTATGACATTAATGATGGTCATAATGCCATAAAAGTGCTCATAAAATAATAAAATGATGTTTATAGTAATAATGTTATATATATATATATATATATATATATATATATATATATATATATATATATCCTACAAACAATCTGACTCTCTTGTGAGATTTGTTGCCCATTTATCAGTTTCGCTTTTGAACTATTTTCCATTTTCCTACGTCCCCTCTCACTCTGTTTAAAAAAACCCTTCGTTGAATTTTTCTCCATCCGCTTGGCGTCATCCAGGAATTTTTTAAACTCGTTTCTCTGTTCAACAGTCAAATCATGGCTCAGACCAACACTAGACAGATTATTGCCCACTGATTTCGTTTTAACAACATTCTTGAAAATGAGTTCCTTTACCTTGACGTTGCATTAGATATCTTCAACTCAAAAAAAATGACGTCAATGTTTGGTTAATTTAATTATTAAACAATTTTTTAGCAAATGGACAAATAGGCCTAACCAAATAATGCTAATCTCAACAGGACGTAGAGGTGTGCAGGTTAAAACTAGAAAAATTCAGATACACTCACTATAAACGGTGTGTGTCAATTGATGAAAAACTTTATACAAATTGCCAGCTTTGCCATAATTGCATGTTTTCATTTTGTTCAAAATTGATGCTAGTATTTTTAGATTGTTGGGTAAATAAAAAACAAACCTTAACTTTCAACATTGTAAATAAACTTATTTACAAGTCAAATTTTTTGACTATTTGCATTTGAATTTTTGTTTCATTGTGTAACATTTAAGTAACAAGACAATAATATAAAAATAAAATTTCAATGTTTTTGGGATGTTATATACATTTTTGGTTTCTTTTCATTTCAGAATTCTGGAAAATTGAAATTCCAGTCAAACAACATAACATTCAAAAATGTGAAGACTGGTAAAATTGATCAATATCAAATTAATGATTTGGAACAAGCATTCTGGCTAACCAGAGCAAGATGCAACTGCCTGAAAATTGTTCTGAAGCCTGGATTAACTTATAAATTTGATGGATTTCGAGAAAGCGTGAGCAATTTAAAAACTTATTTAAAGTGCAGCTTATTAATATTTTAGAATATTAGTAAAACATTTTTTATTTCATATTTCATAAAATAAGTGAAGTAGAATAAATTGTGTTATTACTAATCATCATTTATATATTGATCCTCCCTGTTTTCAATTTTCAATCCTTGTTTTAAAAGTTATCATTATAATATATATAATCTGTCACAGAATAATTTTATTTTAACTGTGTGCAATGTTTCACGTTTCAACATGCAGGACTTTGAGAAAGTTTCGGAATTTATAAAAAAAAATTATGATTTGAAGCTAGAAAAAAAAGATTCTGCCCTGAAAGGGTGGAATTGGGGAAATGCTAAATTTAATGGTTTCTTTCAAAATGTATATATTAATATCACCATAAAAGAATTTTTAAATTTTAATGTTAAAATATAATGCAGGAAACACATTGGATTTTCAAATAGAGAATGCAACAGCGTTTGAGATACCCTTAACAAATATATCTCATAGCTTAGCTTCAAAAAACGAGGTAACAATAGAGTTCCATCAAAATGATGACGCTCCTGTATCGTTAATGGAACTGAGGTTCCATATACCATCAGACTCCGCGGCAGATGTTGACCCCATAACAGTTAGCTTAATGAAGTTACATTTTCATTCTGATATGTTTCTTGATGTAAAATGCTATTTAATCAATACACTTGTTGATGAGGAGTTTTTAAAATTATGATCTAATATAGTAGTAGCATACAATGAAGTGCTAGAAGTGTTAAACTTTTATTCAAAATTTAAGCTTTAGGTGTTTACGATCCTGTCCCGACAACAAATCGCATGTGTGTAAGAAAATCTGTAAACCTCTACAATTTAAATAATAATATTATATTGATATTTTTTCATTAAGCTACATAAATAATGTATTAATATGGTATATAAAATAATAAAAATTGAAAAATAGTTCTAAATTTTAAGATCTGCTATAGTCGTCATTACTTATGATGACAGAAGTGACAATGGCTCTCTGTGAATGGCGTCGAGGGGTATTTCGGTTTCATCATAGGTAGCCAAACGGCAACCCCCGATCTCGGGGAAAATGTCGTCTAAACGTGTGTTGTTGTTGTTGTTTTAGTCACAAAATATGGTTAGGAGTCAGGGAACAATCATCAATAAAAGGAAGAGACTGGAAAATCTGGTTAGATGATAAGCCACGTTTAACGATACATTTGTGAGAGTTAGAGGGAGGACTTTTAATTTTGAATTTTTCTGTACGATCAAAAAAGATCAGGTCAATTCTAAAAGAACTGAGTTTAAGGGACATGGAATCAATAGTCAATAACAGAGGTACAGAAACGCTAAGATTCAACAGTGATGGGCGTCATTATATTTAATGGAAGAAAAATAAGAAATAGCTCAAAAGTATTTGGTTTAGTTGAAAGAATATTCAAATAAAAATTACTTATTTTAAATGGAAAATGTTTGAATGCCTTTTAAAAACATTGAACATATAATTTTTAGGAATTCCATAATAGCATAATGTCTAAAGCAGATGTTGTGCAAGCAACTGGTGATGCAATCACCATTTTCAACGTACACTGTCTTACACCAAGGTATTGTTCAATTTTAGATTGTATGATTTATAACACTCACATTGAAACTATTATTTTTAATAGATATATTTTTTAGTTTTTGTGAAATTTTTATTCACTCACTTGCATTTTTATACAGATCATCTTGATAACAATGAAGTTTGGTAGTTTGATTTTTTTAATAACTTTCATTTCTCTACCTACATTGCAGGGGTAATTATGAAATTAAAATTTTCCCTTCTTTCTTACAACTCCATGGCAAAACATTTGATTATAAAATACCTTACACGACGATATTGCGACTGTTCCTACTGCCACACAGAGATGGAAGACAGTTTTATTTCATGGCAAGTTTTTCAAACCTTTTTTGACTATTTAGTTAATTTTTATTAAAAAATTTTGTTAAGAGACAATTTAGATGAAGCTATTTTTGTATGTTTAAGTTTTTTTTAGAATTTCAGAATTCATGATCATTAATCAAATTTTTCACTTAATAGCAAATTGTTGATAAATTTTTTCTTCAGGTCAGTTTAGATCCCCCTATAAAACAAGGGCAAACGAGATATCATTTCTTAATATTGCTCTTCAATAGAGAAGTTGAAACTACTCTGGAGTTATCTCTAACTCAGTAAGTTTTGGTTGCTAGTCCTAAAAAATAATTGTGTGTAATTGCTGCCGAACTTGATTTAAATGACATTTTGACAAAATCTTAATTATTATGGTAAACAAAATTTTAATTGAAATTAATTTCAAGGTTGTTGAAAAAAAATTTAAAGTTTTTTTGATGGCAGCATTCTGCTATTGTATATTAATATTATTATTGTTGTTGTTATTATTATTATTATTACTATGAATCCATCTTCAGCAATTCCATTATTATTATGAATCCATCTTCAGCACAATTCCAAGAGGCATTGGCATCAAACACACAGTGCATGTCAATTCAATACACGTGAAGCAATGCACCACACACAATGCATGCCATAGGCAAGGATCTATTTGCATTGGAATCTGGTCATCACAATAGCAGTGCGTGGCAGTTTACCGCTACACCATTGCGCCATATACTAACCACGATTGGACCATCATATGTATAAACATCTAAATATTTTAATGATGGTTTTTTGGTGAATTAAATCACAACTTCGACCTTTTAATAAAGATGTTCATTGTTCTTGTCAATGAAAATTTTTTTTCCTCGTCACTTTCAGTTAGCATTGATAAGTTTCAAGTGATATTTGAACCAGGCTTCTCCACTAAACTTTAGGAAACTCATTATTTTCTTGCATTTAATTTTTCACTTATTTACTAAATTATTCAGAATGCATTATTTAAATTTTTATTAATCATAATATAAATATTATACTTTGAAAAAAAAAACAGTTGAAAAGTATAATTAAATATTTTAAAAAATAATGCCATTCCACAATCACTTATTTACATGTTCTGTTTTACTCAGGATACTTACTAGCTTTGTAATCTTCAATTTTGGTTACCGTAGTGAGTTTATAATTTTTTTTACTCAGGATACTTACTAGCTTTGTAATCTTCAATTTTGGTTACTGTAGTGAGTTTATAATTTTTTCCAGATGCATGATGATGCCCTTATTAATTTATATCACATTTTTTATCTCTTCCAAAAACCATTTGATTTTAGAGCTCACCTAAGAAAACTTATTCTTCCTTCGTTCTCTACACTTACCTTTTAATAGTTGAAGAGATTAAATTTTTTTATGTTGTTGGTGCTATTTTCAGAGCAAAAATTTCATTTGGATTCCATGTAAACTCGATCAGCAAGTATCTGCTGACCTGAGCTGTTGCCATTTTTCGGTAGTTGAACTATTATGTGCAGTTGAAGTCATATTTGCAGAGCTCTGCCAAATTGTATCCTAAGATTTTGGCGTCTTGTTCACATCAATGTTAGAACTCCACTTTTTTTGTATGATGAAATTTGTTGGGCTACAGATACGTTCTACAGCACACCAAGAAGTGATATTCGTTAAAATTTGCTGTACAGCACTATTTGCAATTGCTACCCTAAATAAAAGTTTGAGAAGTTTACCATGATTAAACTCAATCTGAGTTATTATTCAGAACAAGGCAGTTGCTATACATGATGATGCAGCTTGCTCACAAAGAAGGTAAGGGTGAGATAATGTAAAAAACAGGTCTTGAGTACTTTTTGCCTGAAACCAAATTGTCTTCTGCAGCTACTCCACCCAGAAAGTGCATTTACGCCACCGAGAACAATTATCTGGCCAATTTTTTGAACTTTGGGAAACAGATGAGAAGTTATTAGAAAACTTATTTTATTAGTATGATAGTTGACCGATGAGATCATGCAATCTATTTCTTTGACAGAAGTAACCTCAGACTTTACACCAATTGAGCAGAGTGTCTTGAAATCTATGGCCTTCCCTTTCCATGTTTTATCAGCACCAAAACTCTCGTAATTTTTTTCATGATTGTGATATGTCCACACATGGTAATGGAATTTTGAGTTGGAGTTGGAATTTTCCTTCTCTTTAATGAGTTACCAGCAAACCCATTTACTTGAGTCGGATCTAATATATATGAACATTTATATATCCTATTTATATAGGCTCCTTTATGCCCACTCTTACCTGTCAGCAAAATTGCAGGTGCAGCGTGTACTTGTACCTGGCATGGGAGTCCAAATAATCTAAATATGTGATTTGAAACAGCTTTAATAGAAAAGTCCCCTGATTTATCCTCTCTCTGCACCCACCATAGTGTCGTTGCTCTTCACCACAGCATGAACGCACTGGCACCTTTTTGATCTAATTTTATTCGAAGGCAGAGTCCGGGAGGGTTTTAGGGTACTCTTTTTTTTATTAATATCAAGTTTAACTACGTAGCTCCTGTATAGTAATAATAAGATTTAATGTTATATAGTGCTTATTAACCATTGTTTTACTTTCTTTTATTGTACAGACAAGACATTAATGAAAAATACGATGGAAAATTGCAAAAAGAAATGTCAGGTCCTGAGCATGAAGTAATAAGTCGCATCATGAAAGTTCTTGTCAATAAAAAAATTACAGTACCTGGTTCATTTTTGGGGTGAGTCAACCATTTTTTACGCTTTTTGATTGTAACTGAATGTTTTACACTTTTTAAATACTACGCAACTTCATTGATTCAATCAGTGTTTATTATATTGGATAGTTTGAAGTTGGGATAAATGATTTGGCCTCAAGATCACCGTTGAAAGTTATTTTTTGTTTCTAAACGTCAAGTTTTTCTTTTTAACTCATTTCAATCTTAAATTAAACGTCATCTAAATTTTGGACATCATCTAATGAGTGATGGCTGAAGAGACCGAAAAATAAATAAAAAAAATTTTAAGTTTAAAATTTTGAATGCACTTATGCACTTATAATGCTATATATACTAATATGCGGCCCTTAATTTTTAGAAATCACAGTTTTTGTTCAGAGTAAATTGATTTCAGCAAAAAGTAAATTGTCTAGAAAAATTTGAAAGACCATGCTAGAAACGGAATTGTTTGAAATTGAATATAATAAAGTGGAAGTACTTAATTACTTAAGTTATGAAAGAGGAGTTAGAATTATTATTTTAATTTATGGTAAATGTGCAGAAAACTTGAATGAGATATTGAAGAATTTATCTGCGTTGTGCCAGGTTAAGCTATTGTCATTTTAGTGTTATTATTAATTAATGCTTTGAGTATATCCTTTCATTACTATAAAGACGCACAATTTCTACTAGCCACTGGTAGGATGTCAGTTTCTAACTTCTTTAACCAAGAACAAATTCAGTGCTGCTATTTATCTTCCACATTAAAAGGAACTCATCTCTAATTCAATTCAAGTTCAACTTGAGCAGATTTTTCAATGTTTCGAAAGAATTTGTGACTTGTTTTTGCTCGTTCTCTAACAGAATAGTGATCCAGAGAAACCATCAGAAAACTGGTTTAATTTTTCATTTATATAACGTTGAAGGGGAACTGCGTAACTTTGATTTGTGCAAAACTATTATGCTATTCGAAGCATTGCATGAAAATGATTCTAGAGAAAAATTAGCAAAGCAGTTTGGTTTCACTATCGGAATGGATGTGCAATCATTTGGCGGTTATAGCAAAAGTGTCTTGCCAAGTCAGAATTTTTTACTTTATTTGTTTACCTAGAAAAGTTTTATAATATGATTCAGTAGCACAGAGTTTTGCAATAATTTGAGAATTTAAAATTGTTGTTAGGCAGGGAGGGTTAAAATTGTTTTAGGTAAATTACAGTTTGTAAATATATTCACTGTCACTTATCTCTTGAAAATTAAAAATTGACCTTTCTTCTTTCCATATCGTATAAAAATGGAAAAATAAACATTCACAATACCTTTTGTGGTTCAGAAAATTCAACAGATATTGGAGGAGGCAAAAGTACAGGTGTGTCTCCACTGTTAATTTTTGAGAAAATAATGTTTTTTTCCCCCAATTGGTCGTCGACAGACGTGGTTCAGCACCAAGGCTTGTCTTTTAGGCTCACTTTGTTTACAATAGTAATATTAATGTGCTATGGGCTGACTAATGGGATAAGAACTGGATTGCATTTGGTGTTAGTGCTGGCGACTTTTTGCTTATACCTGTATCTGTGTTTATGATATACTATAGAATGATTTATGTAGGCGGAAACGTTAATCAGCAGTTAATCTTTGAAAATCAAAGATGGTGTAAATGAGTAAAGGATTAAGCAAAGTAGAACTAAACCGCAGTGCTGACGTTTTTCTAGAAGTAATTTTATTTGTAAATACTTTCACTGTAGACATTGAAGAGGCACTGTAGTGAATTCAATAAAATTGAACTGATTCGTTTCAAAAGATACGTTTTCAGGCAAGACTAGTTAAAAGAGTGCTGAAAAAGAAATAAGGATACAGTAAAAAACTTGGAATTTTGAATGAAATCAGTAGTTTAAGAACGATATAAAAAAGTTATCTAGGTCCTGGTTTGGCCCAGTGTAGAGAGATAAAGCAAATCTGTGTGTTTTAGTAATTTACATTACTTTGAACCCAAGCTCACTTCATGCGATGGTTACTACAATGATTTCTGCTTTCTCATCCTAATTGTTAAACATCGGTGTTTCATGGCATTAAAAACTTCACTTAGAAACTCATTTTCTCTGCCTTGGATAGTCACTTATTATTTTTGAAAAATAGTCAACGTTTTTCTTGCAATCCATTAAATAATGGCATTTTAGCCCTATAAGGCCGACCACATTAACCATCATTATTAATATGTTTTAATTTAGGCATACAAGAACCCACTCAATATCATGTTCTTACAAAGCGGCCACCGGTTCTTTATATCCTCTTGAAAGAGGTTTTGTATTTGTTCACAAGCCACCAATCCATGTAAGATTTGATGAAATATCTGTTGTCAATTTTGGAAGAAGTGCTGGCAGTACGAGATATTTTGACTTTGATGTTGAAACTACATCTGGACCTGTCTATAATTTTGTTGGAATTGAAAAGTTAGAATTCAAAATTTTTATCTCAATTAATTTCTTAAGCAATGATTAACATTTAAAATCTTTTAATAAATGTCGAAATTTTTATAAATATATAAAATTAAACAAAGATAAAATGTCAAGTTCAATCCAGATACTAAAAAATGTTGACGGCTATATGCGTGCTCTCCAAATAATAAATCATTAAAATAAGAAACTGATGACGTTTTTTTTTTAATAAATAATTTTTTTGAAAACAAATCATGCTAGATTATCATTCTTATTTAAATCTCAGCAGATATCAATTTATTTATTTTGTTATACCACGTGTTTCAGGGTTTCAATTCTAGTAGAAAATCTCATCAAAAAACAAGTGCTGAAAAGAAAATTTTTTCGCATACATATATTATATATATATATATATATAATAAAGATATATGCTGGTAAAAGACCATAATTAATGTAGTAATTTATGAAATCTACTGAATTTTTAGCGTTGGATACTTTTTATTACATTTCCCAATATTTCTAACCAAATTCTTGTCTTCATTATTTTTTTTATTAAAGTTAGAATAATATACAGTTCTCCAAGTCATTCTCGAGTGTATAGGACCTATTTCGATTTTTCAATCATCTTTAGCTCTTGTTGCAGTTTATATAGAGAATTAGTATAACCCAGGCCTTTTTTCGTGTGATTGTGTGTGTTATTATTATTATGAAAAAAACACGGGCCAAGACAAAACGTCCCTATGCCCGCAACACAAAATTAACTATAAAATTTTAACACATAAACAATGTACATGAATAAATGTTAATATGTTCTGTTCATACATAAAGATCAAACAAAAATAAAAATATAAACAAAAATATAAGAGAATAATTTCTATTATTAATTCAACTGCTTATATTTTATATTTATATGTATGCAAACATTTCTTCATAAAAATTCCAATTTCAACCAATCAAATATCGTTCTCTTTTAAAGACAATCAGATCAAAACAAACATTTATACCATCATCCAAAATTCCAACAGCGTTCACGAATAGTCATCCTTCAACTCCGCTCTCCAATCGTATTTAAATTTAGCATTCATAAGAAAATCATCCAACTTTTTTTAAAACTCATTCAAATCACTGCAATTAACAACATCATCATTAAAATTATTCCAAATATTAATAGTTCTATTAACAAAATAATTTTTTCTTAAGTTCGTATGGAATGTCAGTGCTGTTAGCCTCATCTCATGTCCTCTTGTTCGTCTGGTGGCTCTCAATATTTCCGGCAAGCTTCGTTGGTCCTTTTCATTCAACATGTGAAACATCGTTATCAAATCACCTCTTATTCATCTGTATTTTAGTGTTGGCAGTTGTAAAAATTTTAATCGGTCCTCATATTTCATTCCCTCACAGTCCTTGATCATATTTGTTGCCCTTTTCTGAACCTTTTCGATCGCTTCTGTTTCACGTATTGTCCATGGTTACCACACACTTGCTGCGTACTCCTACTGAGATCTAACTAAAGATTTATATAATAACATAAAAACATTTTTATAAATATCTTTAAAATTTCTGTTTATTAAACCCAACAATGAAAATGCCTTCTTAACATTGTTAACAATAACTTTTAATTTTACTGTCTCTTTTACAAATTGATACGGTTTCTTTGTTCGGGCTAATCTCTTTAGTGTTATGTTTTATTGCTTCGGTGTTATGTTGAATCAAATTATATTCCTATCATTTTGTTAAGTGTTTTCAAATTTTTCGGTACTGCCTTTACTAATTTTTTCATGTCCTGTTTGTTGGATGGATTGATTACTATGATTGAGATGTCAAAGTTCTCCTGCATAAACTTTTTTTATAAGCATTTTTTTGTGAAAAACTAATTTTTTCATGTTTTAACATGGGCAAGCAAAGAATAAACTATCGGTAATTGACTGACCATATAAGACCTCACGTTTTTTCTGCATACACTCCTTTTCACATTTGTCTGAAGCCATTTCTGAAATTGTCTGAAGTGAGCACAAAATCTTTTATTTTAATGAGGCTGCATTGGATTGGAATCGTGCATTTTTGTAGTTGGTTGTGAATTAGTGCAAGTCATTCATGCATGTTGTTTTCGATGCCTCAGTTATATTAATTTGATTGAAGTATAAAAATAAAAAAATTATCTTTAAAAATTGAATTCTAAACTTTCATTTTCAATTTAGGGACGAATATGGTCAACTGTTTGATTTTGTGAAGCAGAAAAATCTGAGGGTGAAAAATGTCGACAAAACGGTTAATTTCGTTTATTTTATATGTTTTTGTTGCAACTTTTAACCAATTTTTTGATTGCACTAAAATTGTTTCTTTATAATGATGAAAGCATTTGTTAGAAAGCTTATAGAATGTATTTGTCGAGCATTTAAAGTTTAATCAAAAACTAATATTAAAATTGGTCAAGTGAAAAGATGATGATGCATTCAATAAAATATTAAAAGGCGGAAATGTTGACCTACTCTGACGTGGATTAAGAGAAAAAGAAACTGAATCTTTCTTTTTCTCTACGGCACTTCTGAAATTGACATATTAAGGCAATTGATTTCAATGCAAAAACTACAAACTTATTTTGAAAACGAAGCCAACAAAATATCGTGCACAGTTTTTTCTAAACAATTTTTAAAGATGAAAATGCGATATATAATTATGTTGTTTCAGGCGAAAGCAGCTTAACTGTAGAACGATTATTATTTGCATCAGAGCAGTCCGTTTATTAACGTTATGTTTGTGGACGTGATCCATTTTCAGAGGTGTTGTACTTCTTTAAAAACTACACCATATAAGGTGTCAGTCTGATTATTTTTACTGTTCTTGACGCAGGGTATGACTAACTATAAGATTTGCTCAATCTATCCATATTGGTTATGATGGTGCTGTACTCTATTAGATTGATAAATTGGATTTTTAATTTGACTCCTTTTCTTCTTTTCATTGATCAATCACAAATTTGACCCCTCCTACCTTTTACTTACTACTCCTTACTTACATCACACAATTTGAAAACTTATGGTTTTTGTTTACAATTTTTGTAGTTTGGCACAGTTTATTTTTTTACGAAACGCATATTAGGAGAGGATGGGGAAAAAATTCAAACTCTTTATTTCGCCTCACATGATATAAACAAGAATTAAAGATTTATTTAAATAATAATTTAACAAATGTACATGAAATTGAAAAAAATTAGTATTTATTTTTCGAAACGTAGTTAATTTTTAATAATTTATGTTGGCTCACTTTGTAAAGGATGAAAAGTCGGTTCCAGTTTATGGAGATGATATGGAAGAATCTGACGATGATGATCGAGTGCATAATGCTTACATGGAAAAGATGAAATCCCAGAGGCAGGACAAAGATGCTGATGAAGATGACGATGAGTCAGGTATTAAACATTTTCCGTTTTTACCCATTATAATTTATTAAGTAACATTTTTTTCTAATTATTAAATAACCTTCAGATGAAAGTTTCAAACCAGACGGCAGTGCCAGTGAACCTGATGACGAGTTAGTTTCAGTTTAATTTTTTTCTTTGGCTTCTTTTTATGTTAGCCAGCTTTATAGTATCCTGGAATGGTTTTAGTTAGATTCAAATTATATTCAAACTCATCTATCTAATACATTCCAAGATCATCACCGGGACGAAAACTGAACGGGGGGTGAATGTGTCTCAAAGGAAATATTTAAGAAATGTTTAGTTAACTATTTTAAAAACTATAGCATACGTCATTGTGATGAACATTATGCAGTGTTGTCTTAAAATTTCGTCAGTCAGCCATATAATAGAATTCGTTTAAAATATGAGAATCATTTATTAGATAGTATTCAATTGCCCGCTCCACCTCAGCATATAATTTGTGTAAGATGTTACAACTGTTTTTGGAAAGACGGGATCCACTCATTTGCTTACTACAAAAACACCTCTTTTTTGGTCTCTCTCTCTCTCTCTCTCTCTCTCTCTCTCTCTCTCTCTCTCTCTCTCTCTCTCTCTCGGCTGAATACATTCATTTTTAAAATTTATTTCACAAAATCGATTTGAATAAATTATGCCTCGATTTGACAGTTTTTTAGTCTCAATGTTGATTTCGGAATTACGAAGTGCTGAAAAACCAATCTGTTCAGTTTTATATAGCTTACAAATGACTTGCAGTCCACTGATTATGATATACTTTCAGTAAAAGTTTCAATGAGTCGTCGATAAATTTGTTACCTTCTGCGATCTCAAAGTGCTCGTTCCATCGACGTACTTGCTAGGGATACTGTTGAGTTGGATTGGCAGCCGAGGTTGTTAAGCTTCGTTCAGAATTTTTCAAGTTTTTTTTAACAGTTTTTTTGCCACTAGACTGACAATACTTTGCGCATTATTTTCATCAAGCTCGGCATTTGTTTTGGTTACATTTTTTTCATTATTATTCTTTAAAAAATCAGAATCTCACAGGCGCAGAAACTGTTACGATATGCAGGCAATAGTATAGAATGATAACGAAAAATAAATAACGGAGTAAGAATGTTTAAGGATGAGAAGCACGGAAAATGAAAATGATTTAAAAAAAAATAAATATAATAATTAATTAATTGACTATTTAATGACTTAGTTAGTAGGTTATGTGATCGATAAGGGAAGAGAATGATAACGATAAGGAGTATGAATGTTTGAGCTTAGTAAATATGGAAAATAAAACAATGATTTGAAAAAACGAATAAATAGATTAATAATTAATTGACTTAGTAAGTAAGTTAAGGAAAGTAAGAGTTCGTTAAGGAAAAAGAACAGATAACAAATGTTTAATTAGTGTAAATAAATTTAAAGTGTCATGTGATGAAGGTCTTGTCCTGATAAGTTGATTCAGTGACGACTTATAGGTTTACGTTTACTAAGGTAGTGTGTTAGTTTTTACTTTCTTGAACAGTCTTAAATCGAGTGTGTTGAATATTTGAGTGACGGTAGCATATGATGCAGGTAGATAGTTGACATTTGCTGCTTCTATTCCATTCGCATGTTTATTCCGGAAGTTTTTATTTTATTATTTGTCCTTTTATTTTGTTATGCCACATTGTACTACACGTCACCATTAACTTTTAAACCTAAAGTCAGGAGGTGCAATTCATTGTCACAATTTTTTCTTTTATATAATGGTTTGTTCATTATATGAATTTCAGAGTTGATTAAAAAAATTTTTTCCATAAAATACAATATGACATCTCCATTTGTTTCATGCCTGACTTCCTCATGATTTCTTGCATTTTTTATTTCTTTCCTAAACTTTTCTGCTCTTAATCACTGTGTCCTTTGAAGTCATTAATATGAAATTGGCTTTCATATTTTTCATTAGCAATTGCATAAGCTTATATCAAAATATGCAGGTCTCAATTTACGTTTTAAATGTTTTTTATTACAAAAATTCTTAAAAACTACCAGCTAGTTATTTAAAACGAAACCATATGCGTATCGTTATAGTAAGTTAACAATCTTGAAATTTTTTGGCGATTCAAAAGTGAATTGATTTTGTTGATAATCCCTAGTGTTTCCATTTAGAATTGAAACCAAAGTTGTTTCAGATAAAATGTTTGACACAACGCAAATTAGCAAATTATCAACTGAGGTATTTTCCAAATATTAATTTATCTGTTTAGCCCTTCAGCCTCTTATAACTTTTCACAAATATTGGACTAATTTTTAAATCAAAATTTTCATCATTTGCTCAGGTATGATAGCAACCTCGAATCAACATCAAATTCTGATGAAGAAAAAACTGACTCAAAATGAATTTCTCTTGTTGAATTTTCAATTGTCATTGATTTTATTTGATGGATTATTTGACGAGCAATTTTGTTGGTCATGCATCCATAAATTATTTTTGTCGAACTGAATAAACTCAATAAATACTGGAACAAAAATTATTATAAATATGAAAGATCTTAATTTCTTGAAAAGTTGTTCAAATCTATGGATTGAGATGAAGATGCTTATAAAAGTTCTTATACACTTTTCCTAGATTCAGAGGCTTCGAGCTGTTGCGCTCGTATTCACATTCGCTGTGTGTTTTTTGCTAACACATTTAAGAAATAAGTTTGCCACCCATGAGAACACAAAGATATGGCATAAGATAAACGCGAGCATACAACAACACACGTTTAGACGACATTTTCCCCGAGATCGGGGGTTGCCGTTTGGCTACCTATGATGAAACCGAAATACCCCTCGACGCCATTCCATCATAAGTAATTTATTTGGCTAATTTTTACGCAGGATGCCCTTCCTTACGCAAGATAAACGATAAAAAATAAAAGATAAACGCGAGCATAACCAATGGTAAACAAAATTACGCGACATAGAATTGTGAACTGGTGTTTAACTAAGAACTTATATTAAAATGAAATAAAATAATTCAATAATTTTAATATTCGGAACCAAATATAGAGGAATTATATACACGCAGGACCAAATGTACGTTGCCCATTATTGGAACATCGGCGTCTGATAAGTGAGCGTACGTACGGTTAACAAAGGCTCGGAATGACACTAGTTAGGAATGTTTCATTGCAAAGTCGTCCATTCCGCTCTGAATGTTGAAAGCAAAAATTTTCCTGCGTATTTTAGAATTTTTTAAATACTCAATTAAAATTGTGAACGCAACCCATTGACGTCACTAACAAAATTTCTCTCAATACTCAATGGGTAACTAAATGTGAAAAAAAAAGATAAACACTGTTTTAAAAAGTGAAATCAAAAGGTTGAGGTTTGGATAAACAGGCTTCCAGGGTCTTCAAAACTCGAAAAACTGGAACATCTCATTGGGCGTCGTATCACGAAAACATTATTTATTACCATTCATTATTAATTGCTATTACTAACTACTATTACTTTTACAACAACTACTACAAAGAAATGCATGTGTGTGAATATGTCGGGAAAAAGCGCACAAAAAAACGTACGCGAAAAAACCACACAGGCCGAAGCGCACGAACACGAAAAACGCACACATCGAAATAATTGCACGCAGAGGAAAGCGCACATCCAAACAAGCGCATACAGAAAAAACACATGGAAAAAACGTGCATCGAAATTAGCGCACACAGAAAAAACCTCAAACAGACATAAGCGCACATCAGACATAAGCACACGTCAACATGAACGTACACGGACATAGTACGCACATACATTAACGGACATTAATGCACACATACATGACATGAGCACACACATAAACAAGCACACATGTATAAACGCACAAAATAATAAACAATAAGTTCACAAACAACAGAACACCCAAACCACACTAACACACAAATATACTTATGAGGATTAAACAATGAAAAACTTATTGGACCATCAAGTTTTGCCTGCACCCTACATAATAGTAAACAAACACCCACACCATATATTAATTTTGGAAACATTAAAAGTTTGACACGTTTGACATAAATTTTTAAACATCTCCACATTACACCAAACATAGGCGCACATCAAATTATTTGTTTAACGGTTAATACTACACTGCAACGTAGTATTAATACTATGGAATGTATATAAACAAATATAAAAATTGATATAGTTATATAATGTTGCCACAACAATAATTAGTAAACGAATTCAACGACATTTTTAATAATTAATTCAAAGACATATAAAAAATGAAATATATTGTGAAAAATGTATGAATGTGATAGAACAAACTTAAACCATCAAAATTGTTACTATATGATATAAAGAAAATAACTTGTTGTGTATTTTATGCTTATTGTTAGAAATACCTAATGTTATCTCACTTTTTCCAGAATTCATGTTTGGTTTAATTATGGTGGCCTTCATGTGCTTAGTAATTGTCAACTTAAATATTTTTTGTTACAGATATAAAATTATTTATTGGGTAGCGCCATCACATGTGTTTATTTTGTATTTTTTTTCAAATACGGCATAATCTCAAAAAAGTGACTATAAATATTTATACCAGTTTATTTTATATTCGGCAATGAATCATAACACTCATTTAAAATATATAATATTAAATAATTAAAAAATTTTTTTAATAATTTGAGTCTGACAGTTGTAAAAAAAACTAATAAAAACCTAAGGAAAGAAATCAAAGAAGTATCTGGTGGAAGTGAAGAAAAGAAGTCACTTGGGTGGAGAAGAAGAGGAAACGGACAAAAGAGATGAGGGTTGGCAGGGGGTTGGTAGAGTGATCAAGGAGGTGGAAAGATAAGAAAGACAAGTGGATGGAGAGAACACAGCAATGGATGAAGGAGACATGAAGGTGGTTGGAGAGGACAAACAGACAGAGAACGGGAAGGAGCATGTGGTTGGAGAGGATAAACAAATGGAGGAGTTTAAACGCATTGGAGGAGTTAAAAATGAGTATTTAACATTTTTAATTTAGTGAAACTGGAAAACCTTGTATCACTTGTTATATATATATATATAT